TGCTTTTCTTGTAATTGGCATTGCTTTGTGATGGTAAACTTAATAATTAAAGGTTGTCTTTCTTCCTCTGTTGGGACTTCTTGGCACTTCTGATGCACTGTTTGAAGACTTTGTGACTAAGCATTAGTGTCATGTTGTGCCTTTGAGTGCAGTCAGGCCAAGTACACAAAAGTGAAACCAACACACAAAAAAGCTCTTCCTGTGAACCAACTGCATTTCTGCCTGCACTTGACTCACAGCTCAGTAACCATATGCTTCTATTCCACTGACAATTGCCATTTAAATGTCAGTTTGCAAGCGGATGCTGAGAGCCCGCCTTTGTGTCATTCCTCAGATGCCAGAGAGGCAAAGTTTGAGGTCTAAGTGTGGGACAGAGCAGCAGCAGAGCCTGGCAGACCTTGACCCAGCAGGATGGTCAGGGTTAAGTGCACAGGCAAAGGACTGTGTACCTGAGGTCACAAACAGCCTCCGCTCGGGGCTGTGGCAGCCAAAGGAAACCTGTTCTTGGCACTGTCTGGTGGCAATTATGATCTTGTTGACAATTCCAGGCTTTTTGGGATGGCTGGTAGCAGCCAGGATAGAGGCAAAGCAGTGGGTTTTAAAAGGAGACAGATTTAAGTGCTTAGGTACAGAAAAAAGAAAAGACAAAAATCTGTTTAACAGAAGAACAAGGGGAAGGATGGAAAAAGAAGCCCTCTACCAGACATCTGCACATATTTAAAATCCTTCCCAATAAAGTTCATAATGAATTTAATTCAGTCCCCTATGGCCCAGAGGAATTTTCTGAGTAATAAAAAAGTATTGCTAAGGGATAGATGACTGCCAAACTCCTATTCTCTGCCAGCAATGAATATTTATACTATTGGCACTTAAATGCTAGGTTTATTTTACTACATAAATGATCCTTTGTCACATATTAAGAATTAATACTGTGAGATTGACTTTTGAGAAGTTAGAATAATGATTCCCAAATTTAAAGTGTTGTTAAATTTGTATGCTTTGTTTGTAAAGAGGCTTGGGCTGGGTTTTTTTCCCAGATTCAAACAGTAGTAGAATGTGGTAATTCCTATTTTGGGATAAATTGTGTTGTGGCTTGTTTATGGTTTAACTTTATAATGTAGTTTTAGTCAAGGACCTTTTCATGTCTTTTGTTTTGTTTTGTTTGTTACCTTGAAATACCTAAATCAATGTTAAATGAATTCTGAGCTCCTGCTCTTACTTAAAGGTTGAGATGTTCTTATTTAGACAAGGTAACACAAGGGCTCCTGGCTTCTGCTGGCATTTTTCTAATGCCATTCTGATGATTAAACTGGAATAATTCAAATGTGAGTTGAAAATTTCAAGCACCAGTGATGCAGGTTGCAAAACCACAGCATTACTTTGTTTATAAACACTGTTATTCCATGGAAGATAAAGCTCTGCTCTGTGTCACTTCTGTGCAGTGGACAGGAAGATGGGGGAAAAAAGCAGAGCTACTGATCTTTGTAAGAGGGAGTGGAAGGCAAAGTTGGACATGAGCTGAAATGTGAAGAATTATTCCCATCAGGCAGCAAGCTCATAGGAAAAATACATCAGTGCTGGTGTAAGATTCATTGTGGTTTCCATTCTGGCTGGTTAAAGCTGTTTAAGGACCTCTGGCACAGCAGCACAACACAAACTCCTGGAGCCCGAGCCCAGGCTCAGCCTGACAGCAGCAGAGCTGAGCTCAGAGGCTTCCCGAGGCTCTTCTGCTGTGCTTCCCTTTACTCCACACTGCCATGCCAAGTGTGAACGTTGGAAAAAATATTGTGAGTCTGTCAGCATGTTTGTTTGCATGGTGCATCTCCTTTGAGTCAACAGGCATCTTCTCAAAGTGTGAAAATGAACAATTAGTCATCCCTGGGAAACAACAGTTTTGCAGACGTCCCTCCTGCTCCCCAAGAGACAAACCTCCCTGTGCTGCACAAGGGCACAAGCAGCTCATTTTTCATTTGCTGTACACACTACCAGATATTCACTTCTCCAGAACAAAAGGGTCTGAAGAATATAAGGGGGTATCTTAAGCACTCAGCAGTTTGAATTAAAAAGAAAGGTCAATGCCAAGGAATTCAGATGGAAGCAAAAAAAAAATAAATCAGACATCTCAGAGCAATGCAGTTGGGCTTTAAAAATGAATGCACACATTGTTTGCTCACAGTTTTTCACAGCAGCATTCATAATTTAGGAAACTATTAATCAGCATGATGAAGTATCCTTTTTCTAACCAAGAACAAAAAAAAAAATAAAATTGTACAATACAGCTTATTTTCTTCTCAATTGGAAGAGATCTTCTGGTACGATTTGATGAGAATTCCACAGATTTGGGCTTGTGAATTCTGTATTTAAGTTGCACCAGAGAAAAAGCCCCAGTGAAACAACAGAATCCTTCCACCATCTTTTATAAGATTCATCACAAGTCACTGCTCAAGGGGCCTTATGTTCTTTGGCCCATGCCAGGACTGACACCCTATAGTTGTTAAGCTGACAGCAGGAAAAGAGCAATGAAGACCTCAAACATTTGCAGGATTAATACAAAGTTCAGATCACAGAGGCACAGCAGGTACTGAAGAGTGAGGCAAGGTGGCAGGAGAAAAGCAGGGGCAGGGAGGGGACTGTGGGACTGAGAGTAAAAATCAGTGGCTGGGGAGAGTTCTGTAGACAAAGAACTGAAAATGGCAAAGGTTTTGGCGATGGATTTACTGTTGGCCTGCCAACAACAGCCCTCCAGGGCTCTTAAGCCAGTGCTGTAGGTTTAAGATCTGCTGCTTCCCCATCCCAACAAAGTTATTGTGACAGTGAGTGATTACAGAAGCAAGGGATCCAAAGGACAGCTTTTATTTGGTAGCTCGTTCAGGGAGATAATAAATTCGTTAAAGTAATTATGCCTTTTATGAAAAAAAAAATTAAATTTCTTTTTTTTTTTTTTAAAGGCATTTCATACCTTTTCTTTTCTTGGGGGTGAGAATGTGGACAGAGCCTGATGAAGCTCCGGCAGTTTCAAAGTTATGAAAAATCTTTCTTCTATTTCCTGCCTCCCTTCCCTGCTACATTCACATCCTCCTGCTAGTGAAGCATCCTTTTCCTGGCTTCTGAACCCTGCTATTTCCGAGTGGCATTGCTACAGTGACCTGTCCAGTGTGGGCAATCCCACTCAGCCTAGAGAAGCAAGAATTAAACAGCTTCTGTGCTGCTGTAGGGAGCAGAGGTCAGGCACTGGATGAGGTTAACAAGGTGGCACATGGGATGAGAGCTGCCCCACCAGGATGCTCCCTGCCCCAGGGAAGCAGCCAGGCTGCAGCTTCTGCTCCCTCCAAAGTTCGGGTAAGGCACAGCTCCTGCACAGAGAGAAGCAGGGAGGGGACAGCAAACTGGAGGCTGCCCTGTGAGCCAGCACTGCTCGGTGCCAGGGGAGCAGCAGGAGGAGTGACTTTGTGTACCTGGGATGTCACACAAGGTGTGTGTGTGCAGGATTTCCAGCACTGGCACACAGGAGAAACAGAGGATGCCATGAGGTGCCCTGCTCCTGCTCCATGCCCTACCTGGGAACAGCCAGCTCCAGTCACTGACAGGTTTCTGCTCCATGCAGGCAGAATTTTCAGACACCCTTCCAGTCACTGACAGGTTCCTGCACCCTGCAGAACACGCTCCATGCAGGCAGAATTTTCAGACACCCAACACTTCAGCCACCCCTTTTTAATGCCATTAGTGATGCAGCAACATGTATTTATATTTACATATAAATACAAAATGGTCAGATACCACATTTTAAAGCGTAATTTACAATCTGAAACTGCTTACACTTTCATGACTAGGCTTGGGTTTTTCTCATTTACATTCATCATTTAATTCCACTGGAATTTGATTTTTAAGAAAGCCCAACATATCTTAATTACCATAAAAAGATCCATACACATTTTACTTAAAAATAGCTTCTGTAAGAGGAAATCTACCAAAAATAACACGAAATATATTATTATGCATACATTTTCTTTTTTGTAAAGTACAAACAAGAATCTGATCTCTTCTGGGTATTGCCTGATCTAATATGGCTATAGGTTCTATTTATTGTGTTTGTTTTTCAAAGTAAAGGGAAAGACAGAAGAAATGTAAGAGCAGAAACCAAACTAAAACCATATTCTTTCCAAAGACACAGATGATCAGAGAAAGAACACTTTGAAAAGCAATAAATGACAACAGGTACAAAGAAACACCATCCAAGCACTGTGCAGTGTTTTGTCTGAGCATGTGCCGCAATGACCTTGTAACAGTTATTAAAAACAACAAACAAAAAAATGCTACCGGCAGAAAAAGCTGTCAAGCAAAACACTGAAAAACTGGTACCATTTCCTAACAAGTAAGTGCAGAACTGATAGTATTTTTTGTGTCTTCCCCCACGAATGCAGACCTCTTTGTTGCTCTCTCTGCCCGCAGGACTGATCATCGCCACTCTGGCGGTTTGCTGGATGCCAAACCAGGTCAGGAGGATCATGGCCGCTGCCAAGCCAAAGCAGCACTGGACCGTCCCCTACTTCAGGGCCTACATCACCCTCCTCCCCATTGCCGACATCTTCTTCTACCTCAGCTCGGTGGTGAACCCGCTGCTGTACAACATCTCCTCTCAGCAGTTCCGCAGCGTGTTCCTGCAGGTCCTGTGCTGCCGCCTCACGCTGCAGCACGCCAACAGGGAGAGGTTCCTCAGGGCCAACCCGAGCTCTGCGGCGCGCAGCAGCCGCTCCCTGCGCCCGCTGCTCTTCGTGTCCTCCAGGCGCGGCTCTTCCACCAAGAGCAACGCCAAAGTCTTCCTGAGCACCTTCCAGAAGGAGCCCATGCCCAGCTGCAGCCCACAGGAGACGGGTCCTGCACCCCCAGATCCCAGCCTGGAAGTGGCGCCCCTTGAAACCAGCTCAGAGCCCGGTCAGGGTGCACAGAACGGCCTCTGTGAACATCAAGTGTGACTTCATAAGGCAAAGTTAATGCTTAGCAATGAGCTTAAAAACATGGAAATTGAAATGACCCAGGAAAGTGACAACATCGCAAAAAGAATAACACGGATGGATTTGTTTCCAGTTATGCAAAAGGAACAGGAGGTCTGTATCCTGCTGGGATTTTTAAGTGCACACTGGAAATTCAATCTGCTAACTGAACTCATTAGCTGACAAAAATATCAGCCCCTCTTCTCCACACAGCCACTGAACTTCCCTTGCTCTTGACAGGGATTTGGAAACAAACAGAAAATAATTGCAGCGTCTTTGAAGAAAGAAGGATGCAGAACAAATTGTGTCAGGGAAAAAAAAAACAAACAAACCAACTTGCTTGAAGTTTAGCAGTACAAAAACAACAGAGCAAATTTAAGGAGCAGAAGAGTGGTTGTCATGTGTGCCCTGGGCACCGCAGCAGAGTTCCCCCTCTTCTTGGGCCGCGGTCCATTGCAGAGGGGAGTGTTGCAGCAGCTGATGCAGACGGAGTTGACCTTGCCAGGGGAGCAGAAGGACTGGTAGCCGGCGGAGGCGATCAGACACGCGGCCGAGGAGGCGCAGGACTTGCGGTACATGATTCCTGCGGCACAAAACAAGGGTTACTCCGTTTGAGGGGAAGGCTTTACAGCAGGATTCCTGCTCAAAAGCAGCTGCAAACCCAGTTCCCACCCCCAAAGCACTGGTGCTTAGAGCAGAGCCCTCAGCAGTGACAGCACCAACAGCCCTGCGCTGCCAGAGCACCATGGCTGCTCTGCCTGGGATTTCTCTGTAGTTCGATCCTGGTTGGAACCAAAAATATTACAGACTCAATTTGCATAATGTATATCAAATGATGCATTTTATAGCTGGAATTCTTCATCTTTCAGAATAAACTGTTTGAATAGCTATAACTGAAATGCAATTAGTGAGAAAATTAGTTTTGTTTCTATTGCTGAACATGTCTGAGTTAAGGTGTCTAAGTAATTACAGCTTTCTATGTCTAATTTGTCTTTTAAGAATTTTTTTTCCTTTTCTTGTTCCTTTGCCACACACAGACAGGTAACTAGGAGTAAAAAGGGGATGATTATCAACAAAACTTTCATCCTCCTCCCTCCCCTTTTAAATTTTTTTTTTGAAGAAGAATTAGAAGTACTTTTCCAGGTAATTTCAGTTCTTGCTTATCTTTGAAGTTTAATACCCTCAATAACAAAAATTTCCATTTCTATAGAAGCATCTTTCTTGAGTTGAAAGTCTTCCCTTCTTGAATGTAATTTAAGGTAATTTTAATTAATAAGCTAATTTCTAATTTCTCAGATTGTTTTTAACTGAAAAAGTACATTCTGATGCATATACTTTTAGCTGCTATTTTAACATGGTTTATAAAGGCTTTAAAATACACAGTTGTATTTTCTTCTGTCACAGTGGAAAATGGTTATGGCAGTTCCCCACGCCATTACTCCAAAATTTTCCTGCAAGTGATACAGTAGAAATTTTGTCTTAGAAAAACACACACATAATAGAAATACATAATGGATGCTCGCCTGCTTGTGGTTACAAAAAGTAGTAGGGATATTCCTAAGTATGATAAAATCACTATTCTTTTTAAATACGGGATTTTAAAAAAGATTTTAGTTTTTTCCTCCTGAAAAGCAAGGGAACAGGCTTCCCTTGGAGGATGGTGCCTTTGCATCCTGTGGCATGGTCCCAAAATGTCTTTAAATGCACAGTGATTGAGACTTTTTTTGGAGGGAGTGAGGAGGGAATATGATCCTAGTGCTGGATGTACAGTGCCTGCGGATATTTGTTCAGTCCCCAGAGACTTAATAACCACTACAGCGCCTCCAAAGTCCAGGGGAAATCTCTGTAATTTGGCATCAGCCACTGCACCTCTGAGTGCTGACAGTAGGAGCAGAACACCCTTTCTTTGGGCTGTGCTCAGAAAGAAGGATTTGCTGTCTTCAGAGACTTTTAATTAAAGCAATTCTTTTATGCTGTCACAACACTGCTGCCATCCCAACAGTGCAGGGGTTTCCTGGTTTTGTGTTCTCCCTCTGCAAATCTCAACTCTGAAATGTGTTTTTAGGCTATCTATCTCGTTGAACTTATGAAGAGAAGCCCTCAAGTGAGTGTTAAATCTTCCTCTGTCTCCAGTGAGCTTCAATCAATCAGCACAGCAGGTAGAGCCTTTTCTTAAGAAGGAAGAGGAGCTGTGGGCTGTTCTCCCTGTAACAGCAAAGGCACACAGATCAAGCAATGCAGTCTTTATTACTACAGTTTGCAAAAAGAGGGGAGTTCTGTCTCTGCTGACAAACCACTGCTGTCAAGGAGCCTCAGTGGTGCTGCCACTGATCAGCTTTATAATACCAAAATCTCAGCTGATGTTCCCCAAAAAGACCTGGTGCTTTGGCCATGTTCCCCCTCCAGTCTTCCCAGAGCAGAGGCAGGTATGACCCTTCCCATGTTAATGTTTTTCCTTCCCCTTCTCTCTTGAGAAAGGACTCCTGTATTCAGTTAAACCAGGCACAATGACCTGATCTCACATCTCCCCATCACAGATTATTTCCCTGAGCAACAAACACCCACCAAACTCAGCCATCCATCAGTCTTCTATATGAACAGCAGTGAATTTGACTTTCCCCTCAAATACCAAGCCTCTAAAAAGCTTTTGACCCTGGCAGATTTCCTATTTCCCATCATTTTATGGATCACTCTCTTCCTGCTGTTTGCTTTTCACAGGTTTCCTGCAAAGCTCTGTTCACAACTTGAACTAGTGATTTATTTGTTTGGATAATTTATAGTGTGGAAATATCACACTTTGCACTTCTCCCATTGATTAGGAGACTAGAACTGTTCACTGCTGTGAACAATTAGATGATGCCCTCTGAGGCATGATTTTCTCCAGACAACTCTAGGAAATCTCTATTGCAAAAAAAAAATCAAACTCCTGCAGCTTAACTCCACACGTTTACAACAGATCTGTTCTCCAGGACCAATCCCATGGAACAATCCTGAGCTCCTTTTGAAGTCAAAACACAGTATTTCAGCACAGACTGAAATTTTACTACTCAAAGTTTCATGAACAGATGGACCATGTTCACACCTAAATAGGGAGAATAATCTGACTAGTAGCAAAATCCCCTTGTAACATTTCTCCAGTGGCTTTTCAGTAAATGCCTTACAATAGGAAATTTCACACCCAAATGATTGTTTATTCCCATTCCCTGTTCTAGTAATCTAAATTTTAGAAAGATTTTTTACTTAAAAAACTCAGCATTTCCATCAGGTTTTTAACATCTCCTTTGCTAACAACATGCCCTTCACATCCAAGATTTTTTCCTTTGAGTACTGATAGAGTCTCTTGATCTCACAAACCAGCTGCTATCACACTAAGTGCTTTTTAAAAAGCATCAGGTATGAAGCAAACTTGCTCAGCGTAGAAAGGCTGTGCTCTCTCTCTCTCTCTGGTTCTGCAGTATCTTGACAGGAAGACACAATGCAAACAGGCAGAGAAGTTGGTGGGAAAAGAGGGAATGTTAGCACTGCAGGTGTGACATTTTTGAAACACTTGTGCTGTGACTTCACTTACTCCTAAACCTTCTTCCTATCATAATTCTGGTAGGAAATACATGGGCACAACTGACTTTCATGCTCTGATGGCAGGGACACCACCTCCTCACTCCAGCAAACAGTTTAATTGCCCCCAGTAACTTCAGCTCACCCCTGAGCTCAGCCAGGCCAGCAGCCTCCTCTCTGAGTTAAATCCTGAGCTCTCTCCTCAAACTCCTCCTTTGCAGCATTGCTGAGCCAGTTCCAAAACGATCCCCAAGATCTCCCTGAATCATTTGCCACCAGCAGGCTGAACTGCAGACAGTTCTTCAAAGTGGTTATCTGCCTCATAAGACTCATACCACACACATAACTGCTAATTACTGGGTATTCTTGCCTGAGCAATCAGCCCGATGCATTCATTAACATATCACCCACAAAAATAATTGCAAACCTTTCTGGAAGCTTTTCTTCTACCTCAGATTGTTCTGAGTCACTGGCTAAGCAAGAAAACTTCACTTTTTACACTCTGCTTTTACTGGGATGGGGTCATTCCCAGCTACCCACCCTCAGCAATTGAAACTAGAGATCAATTAGCATATTTACGACTACTCAGTTAGTATATTTGTTGCCCAATTACTTGATGGATGAATACAGAGTAATTTGTCCTTTTTCAGGGATTCAGCAGACCCCCAACAACAGTTTTGGTACTATAAGGATGTTTTACTGTGAAGGACCTACTACTGACCAACAGATTTTCCATGATTTTGACTTCAAGGTTTGTGGGATGCAGATCAAGAAATTTAAAGAAAGGGGAGTACACAGAGCTAGAACAGCTGTGAGATAACAAGATTATATCCCACACTCTCCTGTCACATATACCTACAACAGGCATGTTTGTTTACAGGGTTTTTTTTAAGCAGATTTGGGCTTCAATTTGGCATTGAAAATTTATTTCTAGACTAAGCAACTTGCCCATGGTTACACCTCTCTCTGCCCCACAAGTCATCACATATTTAGACAGTGTCAAGGCCCAAACTTTTATCTCTGCCTTATTCCTTCCAATGAAGGGATGGCTGTAAGTTAGGCTTTTCTATAGTTCCTTCTTGCAATATTTATTTTCTCAGTTGGATCCAGTCTAGTTCTGTGCATCTGCACCCTGGCACTGTTTTGTCCACACAGAAGTGCATTCTGTCTTGATTTTAACAAACAATCGAGCAATAATTTATTCAAATCCAAAAAGTGAGTGTTCTTTCCTCTACCCTGTCTGCACAGCCCAGTGCATTTCTCTTGATAACAGCTTAACTTGTTACTAGGACAACCAAAAAAGGTGACATCACACCTACTTCTTACACTGTGTTTATGCAGAAGGCACCAGAAGATCCAAGTTTTTTCTCTTACTGATTGAAAAGCTTATTAGACACCTCGGAGTCTTCTGTTCTAGGAGGTGCAGACAAAAAAAGATGCTGTGTAAGCATGACTCTCCAACTTTTAAGAGCCAAGCACAATCCAAGCAGTGTGCAACTTCAGTTTGCACCTGCACTCTCAGGAGTGTCCTTCAGCAAAATGCAGAGCTGAAACAGGCAACCAAGGTTATCACCTCTGAGATCAGTGACCTGATTTCCAAAAAAAAGTCACCTTCCCACTCCTATGATGACCCAGCTACTCTGAAACTGCTTTCTGCAAAGGCACAGCTCAGCAGAAAATCACAGCCCTGTCCTTCATCCCAGGACCTGATGGCCACACACCCCTGTCACTTGCCTCAGTTAAGTGGACAGTGTCACTGTGCCCAACACCAAGCTTTCCAAGCCAGATGATCTCTGATCTTGTGGCTGTCACTTACACTCCACTTTAAGAAAGCTTTTTATAAACCATTTTACTTGTATATTTTCTATTTTATATATATATAACCAATTTCACTGGCACAGGTGTGAAAGTCAGCCTGGTGCAGCTCACTCCACAAACAGTGCTTTAGCAAAACCCCCTGCACGTGCTCTGAGCAGAGCTGCCACATAAATCCTCTGGAGCTTAGAAAGAGCTCTGTGTCCAACTAGG